AAAAAAAAAAAAAAAATGCGTGGCCATTAGCAATTTATTAGCATGCTTGAGGACCCACCCGTGATGCCTACCAATTACCATAGATAGTTGATATGTTCACATTTATTTAGATTATCATTTTTTTCTATTCTTTATTTTTTTTCCATTAGTATTTTGGGAAGGATGTTTTAATTGTCAAACTTTGATGAGAAATTTACTACCAAATTCTAGATTTGGATCGACCAACAGCATTTATCCAACAACAATTTTCTTTTTGTTAGTCATCAGGACCTGTAAACGAGGTGAGCCACAACTGGAGCTCGATCCCTTAACGAATTAAACTATAAAAAATTATATGATAATCATCTCTCCGAGTCTTATCGAGCCGAAATTGTTAACGAGCTGAATCGAACCAAGCTCGTTTAACTTAATAGCTCTAGTCAGGACTAACTAGGAGAGATATCTCATGTCCACAACATTTTTTTCCTGACATTAGTGTTTGGTACGTTGAATGTTAGATAACTATATTTTTTTTTCAGTATGTATATATATGTGTGTGTGTGCGCGCGCGCCCGAGTGTGTGTTCATGTAGGATTTACATGAGTAATTTTCATACTTATAGTGGACACGAGTTAATGTGTTTATCAAGTGATATGACAATGAATTAACATAATACTGAGAATATATAGTTGAAAAATTTCGAAATATTGACATATATATGACTGGTGAGCACGTCTTAATTTGCACACGGTAGATAAGCTAACAATTCTGTATTGTACATTGTAAAGTAATATAAGTAAAATATAGTATTTATAATATAATTTTTAGTACTCTTATATTAATAGTAAAAAAAATGCAATACCACTTAATAGTTAAGCAGTTTCAAACACGCATTCAATTAGGATTTTCGCTTGTCAAAAGCGAGTGATTTTGTTTTTGTCCTTGTGATAATTAAAATTTTTAAGATGTCTGGTCAACATTCATTGAAAATCGTAGTATCCTAATTTTCGCCTAATAAAATTATTATGACCCAATTAGTGTAAAAAAAATTAATGCTAGTCATTAACGATTTTTGGCGGAAAAATGTCACGTAAGTATAATTAAATAACTTTTATTTAATGTTTCACCAGACCAATTATATTGATATAGATTAAGATTGTGGGTGGTGAATCTCCTCTACTCCTATTTGTTCAGATTTAGGTCCTTAGATGAATTAGGTTGGGGCACATGATATGTAATTAAAGGTGTTGTAACTATATATTAATTCCTCATACTTTAAAAAAAAAAAATGTATACTTAGGCTATGAAATATCCCATTCATTTATATATTTTTATTATCTTGTTGATACAATTTCATTGATATATAGTGTTTCTCCTAAAAGCAGGATAACATATGTAAAACTACAG